AAATGCCACTTTGCATAAATACATAATACAGAATGGCAGAATTATGTTTAGAGCCATTTCTGAAATTGTTGGACATTCTGTCCTAACTAAGACTCGCTTCATATTTTCTATGAAATTTAAGCCAGCAAATTTTTTTGTAATCAAACATACAATTTTTTCTTTTGCAATAAACTCCACAGATGGACTAGCTTGTTACTTATGTACTGGGGAATGGTGGCAGGAATATATTACAAGTCTTTGTTTTCCATAACAAAGTCATGTTTTTTTATAAGGGCAAAAACCTTTAGCAACAGTGCAGTTCACAACATCTAATAGTCTCAAGTCTGAGCCTCGGGTACCATTCATTGGCACTACCTGATGTGATAATGTGCACAGGGCAAAGTGCACAGATGTGTTCAGAAACAAGGCTACAGTGAAGTTCAAGACACAGGCAAATAATCATTCCCAGAGAAGGATCCATCTTATGTTTGATTTTGAATTGATTTTGGTCATTGTATTTTCAGAAACCTTTTACTGTTGCCAGATTTTTCATGACCCTCTTCAGTCACACATCACATGGGCTCGTGGCCCACAGTTTAAGGAGCTGGGTCTGAAGCCAGATGTGGTAGCAACAGGCCTGTAATGCAAGCACTTGGGAGGTAGAAGCAGGAAGATTAGAAGTATGAGGTCATCTTCCCCTGAGCAGAATGTTCTGGGCCAGCCTGGGCTACATGAGACCATGTTTCAAAAAACGAAAACAAAACAAGAAACAGAGCAAGTATAGTGATGCACACTTTTAATACCAGCACTCCGGAATCAGAAGCAGGTGGACCTCTGTGAGTTAGAAGCCAGCCTGGTCTACAAAGTGAGTTCCAGACCAGCCAGGAATACATAGTGAAACACACACACACACATACCAAAAAAAAAAAAAAAAAAAAAAAAAAAAAAAAAAAAAAAAGGAAGAAAGAAAAGAAAGCTGGGCTTTAGATAATCTTGTCTTTCCAGAGCAACCCTAACGTTTGTCACATGCACAGGACGGAGAAACAGTCTCCAAGGAACTGTTTCCAGGCACTTGATAAGAACTGCTGACATCCAGGGTTTACTATGTGCCCTGGAGAATCAACCAAAGGGCAGCGGTTTGACCAGTGACCTCAGCAGTGATCTCCCTGGGTGTTTCTTAGGTCAGCAGAGGGACCTTCCTCATTCCAGTGATCACCCTCATTCCTGTCCATTTAGACAGCCTCCGCCTGGCCCTGCTTCAGCACCTGCTTCCTTTTGAGCTAAGCCACATCATTTTGCAAGCACACAGCAATGGCCAGTGGTCTCACTCCTCGTGAGGTTGCTTTCCAAGATGAGTCTATTGAAATCCAAGCTCTGAAGAGAATGGCTGTAAATAAACGGCAGGCAGGATCTCCGGGCAGGTAGGTCTCTTATCCGAGGAAAGTTGGTCAAGTCCTGTGGACTCCCAGGCCCACATGCCCAAACTGAGTACTTCACAGGATGCAAGCTCCTTAGCTCTGCTGTTTGGTGGCTGGCATGCAGGATTTCTTTTTTCTTTTCCTATCACTGAAATGTGACTTGAGATTGTGGAAAGGGCTCGATACTCTTACAGGCTCAGTTTGCTCCCTGGTTCAGTCAAGGTTGTCTGACAATTCACCTCATCTCTTTGTGCCCAAGTTTTCCCTAACAAAAATAAAATGATGATAGGGGTGTAGCTTCCCCCAAAAATTGTCATAGGGATTAACTGAGGTAAAATATGAACAGAATACCCCAGTTTAATGTTCTGAAAATATGTCCTCTCCCCTCTTTATATATGTGGACATGACCCTGCTTCTCTGGAGAACACTGAATTTTATTAAACAAAGTGGTTTCTTCCCAATATGTATGCTGCCTCCAATTTCTCCCCCCACTACTTCTCATAAACACATTTTCTTTAAATTTTCAGAATTTTAAAGATGGAGAGTCAACAATTTTGTTCTTCTTTCTCAAAATATTCTACAACATTGCTTTTATTTGTATAACAAACCCTTCAAAAGAACTCGCTGAATTCTATAAAGTTAGCCATTAATCTTAAGCTTGAACTACTATATTATTTTCAAATCTTTGGTTTTAAAAATTCTCCAAATGTATCTGATAGTTGTCCAGACCCCAGTTGGGATTCATATATCCCTTGACTGAGGGCAGCACCCTGCTGATGTCTCTTTGGACACTTACAAAGTACTGGGAAACTCAGGGTTTACCCTGTCCACATGGGCATCCATTGTTCCACGGCCACTCAGGTTGAGTCTGGTCTTGGTTACTGGAACACAGTCTATAGACACTTCCTGCCTTGCAAAGATGATAAGCTACATACCTAAAGAGGAAGGTGTGGCTTCACGTGGAGACAATATTTTAGGTCCTTTGACTGAAGGACTGGAGGTGTGGAACAGTGGTAATATTTATCTAGCACACACAAGCCCTGGATTTGACCTCCAGCACTGTAAAAAGTAATAAACTTTCTAGGCCCTTGACTGAATAGCATGCAATGGCGTGGGAAATTTGAAGCCCTGGATTGTTTTCCCTTCTAGTGGTTTTCTTAAGTTGCCAAACACATGGAGGAGTAAAGAGGGCTCAGCCTTGGTGGAGGCAGGAATAAGCCACCAGACCTGATAGTAACTGAGCCACAAGGGAAGCGCCTGGCCTTTCCTGACTAGTCTGTGTGAGATAATCTTGACACATCTTTTGTTCTCAGAAAAGGGACATGAACACTTTTGGAACTAGAGAGAGTAGGTGCTCCCTATCAGATGGTTGCTGGTTTTGGAGCGTGCTGCTAAGCTAATGAAGCATTTGACAGGACTGTTAGGCTCTTAACAATCTGTTTAAGCTATTTCCATGGAAGTGGGGGGGGGGCGTAAGACAAAAAGCAAAAAGTCTGGCTTGCCATTCTTTTTAATTTCCGAGAAACTGTGGGATGCCTGATTTCTGCAATTTGTTAGTCCCTTCTCTGCTTGGATGAGATATTCTCTGCCACGCTGTGGGCATTCAGGGACATTGCAGCTTTCCAGGCTGCCCAGAAGAGGAAGCCTTGGCGAGGATAGGAGGAGGCTGCCCTAAATACCTAGTCCCCTCCAGTGAAGGGCAGGAGCTATCCTTGCCCAGAGGAGCACAGAAGAGGAAGTAAAGGTTAGAAGTGTCTCTCCTCCCTGTTACTCTGCCAGCTCTTAAATCATCTGCATGAACAGTGGACGTTAACATTGGGGACAGCGACCCCCCTCTTGTGTAATGCTGGTATTTGCAGTGCTTGGGCCCTCGAAGTTGACCAGGCAGGAATAAGTTCTTCATAGCATGCCACCTTGGCTTTTCTTAGGTAAACAGACCCTGAAAGAGCTTGGGATGCAAAGGTACAAACCTGGCTTTGTATGTAATTTTGTAAGTGGTCAGTGCCAACTGGCTTACAGCTTCTCAGAGAAAACCCCACAGCAGGCTGCTCTGGGTGGAAGAGGACAGGCCCGTGTCTCAAAGCTTTGGTTTTCAGTCAACTCCCCATCACATTCCAGCATGTGCCCTTAGGTGTCTGCTATGGTATCCAGTCTTCTTGTCTGTAAATACAATTAATAATGAGACCTTCCTCGTGGGAAGCTTGGAGAACTAAATGTAATTGTAGTCACAGCCGCCTCTCAGAACTGACTCATATGTGAAATGAATCATGTACTAAGTACATGTACTACTGCAAACATCCAGTAGGAGAGACTGGCCATGTGTGGAGTGGGTAACAGGAAAACAGTGGGCCAAGGGTATCAATTTCATAATCTGATTCCAAGCAGCCCAAACTATGTCACTTGCACAGAAATTTGGTATAAATCATGAGTCACATGCTGGGGCACACCTATAACCCCAGCATTTATGTGGGAGGCTGAAACAGGAGGACTATAAAGTCAAAGCCAGACTGGGACGACACATTGCTTTTCAGCAGATGCCTCAAAAGCAAATCAAAGTAAATGAAGCACAGTGTGCATCAAGGAGGGGTGGGGTTAACTTAAACGTACAGGTCAGTGTGACGGCTCAGCAGGTGAAGGTTGCCCGCTGCCAAGCCTGGGGACCTGAGTTTGATTCCTGGGACTCATACACATGACCTCCCCACACACAAATAAAAGCTTAAAAATAAATTAGGTTCCTGGTAAGAAATTAAATATGGCAAGTGATGAGGTGCTGGGCATCATGTCTCTTCTGTGGCCACTCTGACCTCAGGCAAACAAGGAGGCCTCTGGGTGATGAATGGCCCCTGTGAGCTAAAGGCCTGCAGAGGTTAGCTGGGGAGATGTTTGCTTGTTGGTCCCCAGAGTGAGTGTGGCAGTTCCTAAACATACCTGAGAATATAGCAGCAAAACAGCTCTGTTGTTTCTCCTCCGCCCCCATTAACAACGGTAAGCTCTTGACTGTGTGTGCAGGGTTTCTAGAGAACGCCTTCCTCTTCTAAGAGAAAGAGACACTAAAATGGTGTGCCTACTATGCCTGGCAGGCACACACTGAGGAGCTTACTGAATTGTCCGGACAGCCCTGTAGAATGAGAATTGTTATTCGTCCACTTGAGGCTTCTTTCTAATACTTCTTGACAGGCATTGTAGTGCACACCTGTAAATCCCAGCCCTTGGGAAGCAGTAGCAGGAGGGTTTTGCAGAAAAACTGAAGTGCACCCAAATGGCTTGATCAATTCATCCAGCCAGCAGGAACAGAGACAAAGTCTGCATGGAAGAGGGATAATCTTAGCAGTATTCTATTTTTGTGTGACCCACATCAGATCACCAGGCACAATGCCCCAGACTTAGAAACAGCTTAGTAAATGCCCGCTGAGTGGAGAATGGCAGGATTTGTGTATGCCAAAAGGGCATTTGGAATCAGTGACAAACGTCCCGCAGGGCTCTGATAGACCAGCCACCTAGAACAGTAGATGGTGAGTCATCAAGTTAAAACTCGATGTCATCCAGCCAGTGGCCTGCCATGTGCAAAGGCTGACCTGATCAACTTTGCCTCTTTTATTTCAGGAAATCCACCTTCCAAAGAAGTGCCTGCTGGGAAGTACCCATTCATAGTCACCTCCGATGATGGCCGGAAGGTTCCAGTGGTCCAGGCCTATGCTTTTGGCAAATACCTAGGCTATCTGAAGGTTGAGTTTGATGACAAAGGAAATGTCATCACTTCATACGGAAATCCCATTCTTCTGAACAGCAGCATCCCTGAAGGTGAGATCTGGGGAGAGTGTACCAAATGACAAGTTATGCGGCTAGATACTCCATCTCCTTCTTCCTTTTGTTTTGTTTCAAGAAATGACTATAATACTTGTGAAGAATTTAGCTTCTTCCTTGTGTTTACTCTCTCTCTCTCTCTCTCTCTCTCTCTCTCTCTCTCTCCTTTTTTTTGAGAAGGAAATTTCAAATTCCCCATGCCCAAATCCTCATTTGCTTTTCCAAATCTGCTCAGTGCACCTCTGCTCTTTCTGCTTTTAAAGCTTCATCTGGTGAGGCAAAAGCAGCCATCAGCTCCTGTCTAGAGAGGAGTACGAGACAGAAGAAAAGCAATTCAAATAGGACAGAGTGGTGCTCAAAACCTGGCCCCCCTAACAAGAGGCAGTGACAGTGTGGTGTGGGCCTCAGCTTCTTTGTTCATGAGACAAGGAAATACCTGTTTTTGTTGTTGCTGTTTTGTTTTGAGAAGAGCTTCTCCATACATGGCCCAGGCTGTGGTTATATTGTACACTAGCATATCTGAAAAGAACCTCTTTTTTTGAGACTCGGAATAAAAGTATCATTGTGCCATCCATTTTCACATGGTATTTGTGAGCCTGCTGCTATGGTTCTACCAGCCCTTTTCCGTTCATTACCATCAGTTCAGAAGGATGGCCACCGTACCCAGGAGCGTCTGCGGCCAGTCACAACATAGGCTTTTCAGCAGCTAGAGAGGATGCCAGCTGGGAACCATACTCTCAGCGGATCCTCTGTATTTGCCCAGCCTTTCAAAACCCTTGACATCCCTATGATGTCATCCTAGGTGGGCTGACAAGTGCTCATCGGGATACTGAATTGATGCTGAGATGCACAAAAGCACCCTTGAGGTAAGAAACATCCAGGTATTAATGTCAGAAAATGAAATAGATATTCCTAGGGAGTGTCATAGCCAAAACCAAAATGCACAAATGTACTAGTGCATACTCCCAGCAGGGAGACGATGCTTGATTTCTCTAGAATTTACACGCCAGGAGATTTGCTTTAATGACAGGCCTTTCCTTTTGCTTGCACCTTTCTGATGGCCTTCCTTTCTGTCCTTCTAGATCCAACCATCAAAGCAGACATTAACCAGTGGAGGATAAAATTAGATAATTATTCTACCCAGGAACTGGGGAGAACAATCGTCTACCTAGATGGTACCACTCAGACATGCCGCTTCAGAGAATGTAACATGGGCAACCTGATCTGTGATGCTATGGTGAGTTGTCTGCAGGCGCAGAGCACCTGCATCTAGGGAGGGAAGAAAGGAAGATGGAGCGTACAGGCAACAAGGAACAAGGTGATGGCAGCAGAAATGGGGATTTTGATACATTTAGTGCCCAGACAGAAGCTTGAAGCATGACTGGTTTCACACTGAATACCTTGGCGAGGAGGCTCGAAATGATTAGGAGACCATCTCATTATTGCTTTACAAGGACTAAAGCCTTTTAAAATATGTCTTTCCCAGATGTCTGAGTTTGGGGTGTTTCTTTCTGTAAGATGATCTGAAAACAGGAACCCACCCCATCTCCCTGACGCTGACAGATGCTGACACAGTAAATCAAGCACATCTGCTTGCCAGGGCAGTTTTTCCCTGATTTGTCCTCTTGGCTCTAAAGAACATGGGTCTCGGGTAACTTGCACTTCTTTCCCAAGCACAGAATGACAATATATAGTTATGGTAAAGCCCTTGGCAAGATTCATGAAGAGCATTTTTCTGGGGCCAGTTGGCCAATGTGTCTTCATGGGGCTGTGCTGAGCAAAGGTCTCTAGGCTGGACTACTGTTCCCATGGGCTCACCCATGGAGAGCCTGTCAGTGTGAGTATCCTGCTAGTGTCAGTTTCTGTGATACAACCACGCTCCACAAACTCTGGCTAAGTGAGTGACAGCATGAACGTCCTCCAAAATGAGGTCGAGGCTGGCTACTGAGCACCATGAGATCAGTATGAGAAACAACCAGATGGAAACATCTAGAGAAAAATCTAGAAAGAAACACCCCAGGGTGCTGCCAGCACTTAACCTTTCTGTCAAAGAGGCTGGGAAAAATATAATTTTTACTTTTGTGCTTGTTTGAAAATTAGAAAGCATGCATTTTGAGGCAGGAGAGCTGGTGTCAGAGGACTTGGACCTGGGTTCAATTCCCAGCACCCACACAGTTGCTCACAACCATCTGTAACACCAATCCCAGGGGATCTGATGCCATCTTCTGACCTCCACAGGCACACATGTGGAACATATACATACATTCAGACAAAACACTCATACTCTTAAAATATAAAATAAGCAAATATAAAAAAAAATCAAAGGTTTGAGGCCATGTTTGGTGGTGCATGCCTTTAATCCCAACATTCAGGAGGCAGAAGCAGGTGGATTTCTCCAAGTTTGAGACCAGCCTGGTTTATATAGCAAGTCATAGAATAAATAGCAAGAGCTACACAGAAAGACCCTGCCTCAAAACAAATAAACAAAAGCATGCATTTTTATCTGCTGTAACTGAATGCGTATTTTGTACAAGAAAAGTAAGAATGAACCTGATTCTCCTTAGCTTCAGGAGGCCATCTCTGTGCCTCCAAGACCACCAATACTGGGGAACTGCCTGGCATAAGGTAAGTGATAGGCAGGCTCGAGGGTCCTGCTGCCCTGGAGGAGCAGCTCCACAGACCGGTCCACCCTGGAGCAATCTTGACACCGGCTGGAGAGAGTATTCTGCTATATCCCCCAGCCTGGGGGATAAGTTTGAGGAATGGGTAAAGAACCCACTGTCCTAAGAGTGTGACAAGGGACTTGACTGGTCACAATATACTTTTGCTTCTGGCTGAATGAAGGCTAATAGAAGATAGGCTAATAATTGTTTTATGACTAATAATGTATGCAGTGAGTTTCAGTTACAGTTGGGAAACTTCTGGGGACATGGGAGCAGTGGATGAATATTTTGTTTTCTCAGTAGAGATAACCAGATTCCTGGAACTGATACCAAGAAAGAAGACCCAAAGTAACTAAATTTCTGATACTATTGTAGATTAACAACAACCTCAGACACCCAGATGAAATGTTCTGGAACCATGTGTCCATGTGCATTTTAAATGGAGGTGGCATCCGGTCCCCTATTGATGAGAAGAACAATGGTATGTGCCTAGGCCCAGCTTCCTTATTGTCTCTTCCCTGACAGTGCCCACAGCACCCTCTGCTGCCAGCCACAAACCAAAACGCTTGTCCTTTAAGTTTGTGTTAGCTGTGACTGAAGTCCAGAGCTTTGACAAAAGGACATACATGTCTTCTTATATGTATTCACAAATGCTAAATCTAAGCTTGATCTAAATTGTTGACTTGCAAAGCAATTAATTGTTGCTGTTTTATAAAAAGTATTGAACATATTCACATATGGAAAGAGAAAGACCAACTCATTAACATTCTATGCTGCAAAGGATGACTCAAAGACACACTATATATTTACAGATACCCAAGGTCCTATCATACGTTAAAACAAATCCACTAGATAGCTACTTAAAGGCTCTTTTGCAGTCCTTGATGACATACTGTCAAACCCCACCAGTATAAGGCCCCAAACTCATTTTAGACAATAGGGCAGGTGGCTAGAACACACTGCCTGTGTAGAACTGAGCAATGTTTAACTACTGAAGACCCAGCCCAAACCCGAGGAGACCCAAGGCTTGGTGTAGACTTGGTCCTTTGCAAACTCAACCCCCTCACCTAATGGTGGACAGCAGGGCAGAATCTTCAGTACACTCCCTCCCAAAGTTAAATGCAACTGTTGTGAGACACACACACCCTCCCCCTGCCTTCCCCTTTATTCCTTCAACCCAGGGGAGCTGGTCTCTAGGTAAGCATTTTCTTAAGCTTTTTTTTCTTTCTTGATGCATTTTTAACTACCCAAGGTACAATCACCTGGGAGAACCTGGCTGCTGTGCTGCCCTTTGGAGGGACATTTGACCTGGTGCAAATAAAAGGTTCCACCCTGAAGAAGGCTTTTGAGCACAGTGTGCATCGTTATGGCCAGTCCACTGGGGAGTTCCTGCAAGTGGGTGGTAAGTGGTTCCTGCAGGGCATGCTGTCCAGTGATATAGGCTCTCCTGTTTGGCTCAGTTCCTTACCTCTGTAGCTGGGCTTGTTTGGGTTTTCTCACAGCCAACCCCACCATTCAGTGACTATGGACTCCTGGAGTCATTGAGGCTAGGTTAAGATCAAAGGTCTAAGTCCTTGGCAATGAGTAGTATTTGCCAAGCATGGTTTGGACATTGGAAGGGCATCCATGGGAGCTGAATTCCTGAACACTAGTCAGATCGGCTGGCGTGAGGTCTTTCTGTTGGAATCTTACTTGTGGGTTGTGGTGATACATTATTTATAAATTATTCAAGCTTGCCTGCGGATTCAGAAAGCAAAGTCATAGAAGCCAGGCACATAACTTTAATCCCAGGACTCAGAATTAAGAGGTAGACGGATCTCTGTTAGTTCAAGTCCACACTGACTACACGAAATTGATCCAGTACTAAGAGAAATAGCTCACACAAAGATGATTTCAGCACTTGGTATCACAAACGTTAATCCCAGAACTAGAGGGATATAAAAAGTAGGAGGGTCTTCAGTAGGCTGTCTCGGGACTCATTAGCCACACTGAGCAGAGGCACCAGTCTGAGGCTTGGCGAAGAGCTTATGTATTAGCCCTTTCAGCCTGAGACAGAGGTAAGAGCCAGTGGCCAGCTGCTTTGCTTTTCTGATCTTCGGCTAAGCTTTAATAAATCATAAATAATATATCACCATAGTGGGTACAGGAACAGTCTTAAACACAAGCAAAAGGTCTCTCCATTATTGTTATGCCTGGGACCATATTAGGGTTCAAAGGAACAAAGGTAGAAGCACACAGTATACTCTAATCCTACTCAGGGGAAGGCATGTCACCAACCCCAGACCTGCTTTCTCTTTGATTGCAGTAAAGAAAGGAAATGAATGTTCCTCGCATTGCTAAAGGCTTCTTCGTTGAGGATGGGTATAGAGAGTGTTAGAGATTAAACACATGCAGGGCAGACATTTTCTAGTTTAATTATTTTGTGCTGATGGGAATTGAACCTGGGGCCTCATGCATGCTGGGGAAATGGTTTTTGGCACTGCTATGTCCCACCTCCTAAAGGATTCTAAGGATTCTAAAATGCTTTTCTTAGCAATCAGTCCCACAATCCAGTTAATTCTTAGAGTCGTAATCTTATTTTATTCCAAAATGATTCTGGCCTCATTTTCTCACTTTTTATTAATCTTGCTTTGTTCTTTTTGAGACAGGAACTTATGTAGCCCAGAATGACCTCAAACTCACTATGTAGACAAAGTTGGCCTTTAACTCCTGATCCTCCTGCCTCCATCCTCTCCCAAATGCTGGGATTACAGTAATGTCCTACTGTGCCTGGCTTCATGTTGCTTGCTTTTCTTTTCTTTTTTTTCTTTTTCTTTTTTTTTTTTTTGACAGTTTGAATATGTACTCTTATCAAACTCAAACTATGTAGCTCAGCCTGACTTCAGATGTGTGGTGATCCTCCTGCATCAGCCCCTCCAGAGGATGAGTTTCAAGAATGTACCTCCACACCCAGCTTCAGCTTCATTTTCATTTTAGTTCACGAAATTGCTTGATGGGTGTTGCTGCCTGACAGGAGACCCTAGCCTGCTGTTTGTGGGGCAACCCTGACATAGAGCACTTTCCCAAGGCAGAGACAAGCATCTGTGCTGTTCTGATGCTCTAGCAAAGTACTGAGTAAGAGTATTTTCGAAAATCTTCAAATCAGAATTATTACAGTCTTCAGTGCTGTTGCAAATGCTCCATTGCATTTCCCAATAATGCACATTTTCCAAACCCAGTGAGTCATCACTGGACCAATGAAGTCAGGATTACAAAGAGGAAAAATACTGGAGTTTCTCCCAGAAAAATCACCCTTACCCTCCTGAGGGTCAATTCTTCTTCCAGTGGTTCTCCCATCTACTGGAGGCCTCAAGATAACTTAAGGGTAGCTACACCATTGCCAACATTCCCCTTATTAAATTTCACTCACACGGAACTAAAATAGCACAGGCCTAGTATCCCAATCCTAGATCTTGGCCAAAATCCCTTTCATAGGCAAAAGTCCCTTTGGATTCATCAAAAACATGGACTTGTTTCTCTTCTAGGAATCCATGTGGTGTATGATCTTACCAGAAAACCCTGGAACAGAGTGGTTCAATTAGATGTTCTTTGCACCAAGTGTCGAGTGCCTACTTATGAGCCTCTGGAAATGGATAAAGTGTATAAAGTGATCCTCCCCAGCTACCTGGCCAATGGTGGGGATGGATTCCGGATGATAAAAGATGAATTATTAAAACATGACTCTGGTAAGTGTCTCTTCCTCTCCTGTTCCCAAAGGTGTTCAGCACAAGAGAACCAGGCAGAGGGGGCAAGCCAGAAAAGGGACCCTATGCCTTTGTTGCTGGCTCCCTCTTGCTTTGGAGGTTGCTAACAACAGTACAACACCAAGGACTGTTCTACTCTCCCTTCCCCAGCACACATGTTCACATCTATCCGTCCCCAGGAAAGGCACACTTTGTTAGAGACAGGATCTTTCTATGTAGTCATGGCTGGCCTGGAGCTTGCTATGTAGACCAGACTGGCTTGGAACTCATAGAGATCCTACTGTCCAAGGGATGAGATTAAAGGCTTGTGCCATCACAGTGGTCCAGAACTTTTTTCTTTACAGTTAAACTACTGTGTGTTAACAATGTCAGGCATTAAATAGCTTCAATGAACATATCTACATGGAGTAATTTAAATAACAGTAAGATTTTGGAGGGTTGTCATGGGTTTGTCTAAGCAAGTCTTATTTCTTTATCCACTTCTGGGAATGAAACCTCCAGAGTCCCATCATCAAGTATGTGATGATAACGTTGAGCAGACAGCATGAGAAAGTCACTTTTATTTTTCATTTAACTCTTGGTCCAAGTCCCCCTTGCCTTTGGCTCTGGAGTAGATAGATTACAGCTGTGTTGCCAACAACCTCTTAGAAACCTTAGAGCTGAGACAACGGCACTCCTCCCAGTCACCCAGTGTTCAAGTTCACATCTGGAACATGAAAGAGCAGTCAGATTCTTTGCACTTAAAATTACCAGAGGACAAAAAGTCTTCTGAGGTGCTTTATCCTGGAATGAAAAGGTGTCTTCTGAGACTTTATTTCCCATCTTACTGCTAATATATCATTTTTTTTAGGAGTTAAAATAATGTATGTGTTTTTTTTCCAGGTGACCAAGATATCAGTGTGGTTTCTGAATACATCTCAAAGATGAAAGTAGTTTATCCAGCAGTTGAAGGGCGGATCAAGTTCTCTGCAGGAAGTCACCACCAGGGAACCCTTCCTTTAGTAATTCTTTCATTTTGTGCAGCGATCCTTGTTTTGTACCAATAATAAGAAGCCTTGTCCTTGATGTCAAACTACATTTTTCTTCCAGTGATATTCTAATCTGCCTCTGGAGACCTGGCTTTGTAATGCTGCTTACCGTCCTCAAGGCTGCTGGCCTGATGCTCAGAGCCCTTCACCAGGAAGAGACTATAACATCATTTGTCAGGGCCAGCAATTCAGAGAGCAGACAGAAAGTGAACCAACAGGGTCCTTTTCAGGAGTTCGGGGAAGAAAACAACTAGATGTAATTTACATAGCCACATAACACATTTTGTTATCTTTGAACCACAAAAATAATTTTTTACTTTCTGTTCATTTCTAATCCATCAAACAACTGATGTTTCCATAGAACTTTATCATTACCAGCTGTGGTGGCACATGCCTGTAGTCACAGCACTTGGAAGGGAAAAGAGGATGGTTGCCAAGTTCCAGGCCAGCCTGACCTATATAGAGTTTCAGGCCAGTCAGCTAGACGTCAAGACTCTCACAAACAAAAACCGTTATAATCAACAAGGAGATTTTTGTTGATAAGACAAGTGTTTCCTTCGTTTTGATACATAAGCAGAAAGGGTTGACTTGTTCAAGGCCATGCATTCCCAAAAGATCCATCTAAACCTCTACCTAGGTCTTCTGTCCCCAAATCCAATACTCTCTCCCACATCAAGTCTTCTCTCTCCCTGCCAAGGGCCCCAGATGACAAATCTCTGGTTTATTTCTGCCTGCCACTCACCTTTCTTTTGGGGTCCTATTGTCTACCAATTTTGACCAACTGGACACTGGACAGAATACTGTCTTACAACACCATGTGCCTTTGATGAGTCATCAACACACTGTATAAAGCAGATAACAGATTAGTCCAGGAATTGCAAAAGGCAGTCAGCCAGGGGACAGGGGAGAAAGGGAAGGGAGGATATGAGCAGGATTGGTACATTGCAGAAGAGACGATCGGCATTTAGATGTGTTATGTAAATACTTGCCAAGGGGCAGCGCATGACTCCAAAGCGAAACACTGGTTCTTAACTCTTGTGAGATTCCAAAAGCTGTGCTTCTCTCTCTCCTTCCTTCTTCCTCATGTGGAGGTGTCATGAGAAAACTTTCTAAAACAAACTGTAATTCTAAACCTGCACCTGTCCTGCCCACGATGCCAATCAATACATTTCTCATTTTGGTCACACCATGTACATCATGGAAAAATCCAGCGTCCTGGAGGGCAACAGTGATTTTAAGAAGTGGTATACATAAATGTTTGAAGTCACTGAGACTCAATCCCAAGCAACCACTGTAAGGCATACTCCAGTCCAGATATGAGAGTACCAACAGGACCTGAGGGATGCCCTGAGGGATGCCCATGAGATACGCAGACTGATGAAATAATCTATGACCACAGAACACCTGACTAAGATGGTCCTGCAACCAAGTGAGCATGATGGTCAGTGCTGCACCAGTAATCAAGAACTGGGAGCCTTCACCTTAACCACCAAACCACAGTAGGGAACATGTTTCCTAGTGTTTACAAGTATTTAGTGCTCCTGACACAAAACATTTTAAAATTTCCAATCCTTTTATGAAGTTTGTTGCAGTAAAACAATGCCTTCAGCTCTATGAATGTATAGACTAGTTATAAACAGAAATGTCAAATAAGACCATGTAATAAAGATGCATTTGAGGTATGTTTTTATGCTTGGCCAGTAAATGAGGAGAAATCTTATTGTAGTATAATTTTTTAAAGAGTATTTTGTAAGTTTTCTAAATATGTGTATATATGTGTGTTGGGCCAGTGTTGAGAAATGACCTTGAACTACTTTATAACTGTAAATTCCAAACAATAAAACTGAAGATATACTCCTTTGTTTTTGGTCTTACTTCTCTCAAACCCCGAAGACAATACAGCAAAGGCATTTTTTCAACAGGATTATTTCTCTTGGTAATAAACACTTTGTCATCTCATAGCCCTTCTCTGGTTTCAAAATTGAGAAGACAAATGTATGCAATTTTTAAGCAGAAGTCTTTTTTTTTTTTTTAAAGGAAGACTGAAGCCTCGACTTTTCTTCCTCTAGCCTTGCTTCACTCCTCCGTGAAAATCTACTAACCTCTAGATAAATCACTAGAGATGGGATTGTACAAATCTGAGATTCCAGACATGACTGCAAGATAAAGGTCACGACAGAAGAGGTAGTGTGCTGACCAGTCACCACTGCTCTCTGGAGCAGCAGCCTAGGTAACAGAAGCAGCTGATCCTGCTCAACTCTGTCTTCTCTGTCCTGATCAGGAAAATTAGCACCAATGCAAGGAAGTGAGACCAGCATTACAGAACTTACCCGAAAGACAGTAGTACATTGTGAATTTCAGTTGCAAAATCATACCACAGCTGGGTGTGGTAAGCCATATCTTTAATCCTACAACTTGAGAAACAAAGACAGGCAGATGTCTTCTGTACGTTTGAGAGTGGACTGTTCTACATAACAAGTTCCAGGCAAGCCAGTTACAAAATGAGACCCTGTCTCAAAACACATACACAGACAGACACACACAAACACACAAAACACAAATTTCAAAACTCAGTTTTAACCCCCTTGGTTTTCTGAGACAGGTTTTCTCTGTATAACAGCCCTGGCTGTCCTGGAATTTGCTTTGTAGACCAGGCTGGCCTTGAACTCAACAGAGATCAGACTGCCTCTGCCTCCTGAGTGCTGAAATTAAAGGTGTGAGCTGCCACCACTGTCGGCTTCCAAAGTCAATTTTTAAAAATTATTTATTAACTATTTTATGAATATGGGGGGGCAGATGTACCACAATGAACATGTGGAGGTCTGAGATAACTTTTTGGAGTTGGTTCTCATCTTCCATCTTGTTCTGGTTTCTTTTCTGTTTCTGTGATAAAGCATTCTGACCAAAAGCAACTTAGGGAGGAAAAGGTTTATTTGACTTCACATGTACAGGTGAGTCTATCACTGAGGGAAATCAAGGCAGAAACATAGAGACACTGCTTGCTGGCTCCCTCTCAGAGCCATGCTTAGATTGCTTTCTTGTACAGCCCAAGGAATGGCACTGCCCACAGTGGGTTCCCCCATACCAATCAATAATCAAGTCAACCCACAACACACACACTCACAGGTCAATCTAATCTATGCAATTCCTCAACTGAGGCTCTTCTAATCTACATAATTCCTCAGCTGAGGCTCATGTATCAGATGACTGTAGGCTGTTATCAAGTTGACAAAGCTAACTAGTATATACACTCAGGTTGCCTTTGCCTTCACTGAGTATGAGTAAGCCTAACTAACCAAGTTCAGTCTCCAAAATTCATGGTAAAAGAAGAGGCATTTTTTTACATGTCTGTAAATACAAGACAAGCTTTTCCTGCTTTCCGTACAGTGATTCCATAGTTGTTTCTGTCTTCCCGGCACATGAAGGTATTTGAACAATAAACAACAATAGCCAACAGGACAAAAAAACATGTGGAGACCCTATATGAGTTAAGGGCTGGAAAACAAACTCATATTACTACCCTTCTGTGGCTGGATTACATAAAGATACACTTTGTATTCTCTCTAAACAAGATTGTCAATTTCTGTCATTGCCACCAAGGTCCAAACCTGGCTCCAATTAGGAGAGAACATCAGAAAGCTTCCCTGAAGACATGCATAATGGGCTTAGGAGGTAGGAGTCAAGCACATTCTATGTCAAGTAAAACTTCTCAAATCCCTCAAAGAAAATTATACAAAATTCGTTCTGAACTACTAAAACGAATCAGAAAAGTTAGAAGATTGATTAAACTGGTCACAAAGTACTTGGAGCTCATTCCTAAGGGAATGAAATGTCAGATGTCAGTGTCAGATGAAATGTCAGTGTCTCTCATTCTGCCAGACTTTTGTGCAACCTTTTATATCTGGGGGTGGAGAGTTGCAATTAAAAGCCATGGCTACTCTTGCAGAGGACAGGGGTTCAATTCCCAGCACACATATGGTAGCTTACAAGCACATATAACTCCAGTCCAAAGAGATCCAATGACCTCTCTGACCTTCTCAAGGCACCAGGCATGTACATGGTACATCTTTCCAAATATGGATTCTAGCAATACTGTATGTAAACAAATATACATGTGGGTACAGAATAACATGCAGAAAAGAGAAAAAGAAAGACTAAGTACTAGGGAATGGGGACAGATTGAATGCAGGTAATGGAAATGAGTTACAGAAAAGGATATAAATCTAAGTGTTTTTCTATTCTGTCAAATTTTTTATTCATATCTGGTGGCAAATAAGTGCATGAAAATATATTCGATAGTGAAAGTATAAAATTCAATGTGAAGCTCCACAACTGCTGCTCCCAATGTCTATCCTAACTGAATACAAGTCCATTGAGCTATATAGTTTTTGGGTTTGGTTAATTTCGGTGTCTAATTTTTTTTATGTGTAACATTTTTTATAATACAGTTCACTTAAAGAACTTTTTAAATTAAATCTTTTGAAATATGATGGCACATGCTTATTAATCCCAGCATTCAGGACGCTGAGAGAAGAGGATCATGAATTCAAGGCCAGGCTTGGGCTATGTAGCAAGTTCTAGTCTAGCCTAGACTACATCTTGAAACTGTGTCTCAAAACATGAAACATAAAATATTCAAATAAAGTAATTTGGCAGCCACCTCTTCAATGACAATGTTGTGTCAGAGACTCTGTGTTAGCCCCATGTTGCAGGGCCACATGTCAAAGACTGTTGCAACGGTCCTGGGTCGGTTCCTGAGTGGAGGAGTATAGATGAGGGAAGGCTAGCTATCCAACGGCATTAAAGGAAAGACAGAGACATCTGATCATCCCAGGAGAGCAATCAGTTAATACTGAAAGCACCCAGTTTATTGATGTGTCATCTTAATTAACCATCCAAAGATGGGGGCAATGGTAGAAGACATCTATTATCATGTATAAAGGGCAGATAGCAATTATTTTCCTTAATCCTAAAGACACTCCTTTGCAGCACATACTCAGGCCTTTAGGCACTTCACCCAAGCACGTATTATTAGCCTTCAGGGTGCGTGTAAACTTGCCCTGGGCCAAGTCTAATGTTATTTAGATAGGAGCCATCCTCCACCAAGGCAAGGACATCCAGCAGCTATTAGCTGACATCTAAAAGACAACAGAAATTCTGGGTGGAATAGACTTCCAAATATACGCCGACTGTTGGGACTGCCTTCATGTCCAAGCTGATGCATATTTCTGCATGCTGAATTACACCACAACTTTCATGTTGAGGTCAGAGGACATCTTGGAGGTACCTATTCTCTTCTTCCACCATGTGGGTTCCAGGGAAAAATTCAGGTCACCAGGCTTATCAGCAAGTGACTTTACTCACAGAGCAATTTTCTCAGGCCCTCTTTTACTTTTCATAAGAGCATAAATCCTGTTACAGTAGGGCTTCACCCCAATGACTCTTTTAACCTAAATTACCTCCTGAAAGGCTCTGTCTCCAAACAGAGTCACTGTGGGATTTGTGGTTTCAACATAGGAATTTGGGAAAGATATAATTCAGACCATAACAATGACTGAATCCTACTTAAAGAAAATGTGATACTCATACAAAGTTAAGTAAGTCATTTATATTATAAAAGGAGAAAGGAAAGATAATACAATTCCTATTATCTTCAAGCCACTTTGTATGCAGCATCATGTTGCATTTTCATGGTAACTATGAGTATTGTCTTGTAAGAGACAATGTTAAGCCACAGAGAACTATGAAGGTAGAAGTCACATTTGGATCTCTCTGATCTTCATGTTCTTCTTATTGTTGAAATATAGAGAAATATTTGTTTCTAAAAGTAGTTAGTCTTAGCCAGGCATTGGTGGCACACACCTTTAATCCCAGCACTTGGGAGGCAGAGGTAGGAGGATCTCTGTGAGTTCAAAGCCAGCCTGGACTACAGAGCCAGTGCCAGGATAGGTTCCAAAGCAATACAGAAAAACCCTTGTCTCGAAAAAACAAAAAAAAGAAAAAGAAAAGAAAAGAAGTTAGTCTTGGCCCCTTTCAGAAGTCTGTTACCCTGATGTATTTCAAAGGCTTTACTGTGCCCATTCTTTCCCATCTGTTTTTATGTGTGTCTTAATGTATGAGCTTCATGAAGAACATGTTTTAAATGTGTTGCTACAAACAGAATTACCAAAGGGAGCTATATGGTTACAAGAATACAGTAAAGTTAATACTAGCTGGGAAACCCTCTGAAAATTATAAAGTACATTATAAGACTGTCTTTGAAGTATTCTAATTTAGATACAGGTAGATCTTCAAATTGCTGAAAGCAAGCATTTAATCTTTACTGACTTGATGAAAATATTCAATTTTACAATAAAAAGTACAAACAGAAGTCTAATATGTCCAGTATTGTTAGCTGACTATGTAGTGAGCATTAGAATAAATGAGTGTGTCTTGCTAGTTGCTGTATAAAAATGTCCTGTGTTATGTATGCATGAACTAGCACTGCTAGGCATACAAGAAGAGACCTTGAACCTCAGCCAACTTGCATCTGTGACTTTATATTAAATGCAACTACATTTGAAGCAAAAGATACAAAGATTGTTGGTCTTACTTGTTTGCCCTCTTTCCAAAGCAGCAGCATGGGGCTGTGGAAATGGCTGAGTGGATAAAGTGCTTGCCATGCAAGAGTGAGGACCAGATCTGAATCCCCAGTGCCCACATAAATCAGCAGGCATGTAGGCAAACCTATAATCCCAGCACTCAGGAGGCAGAAACTTGGGAGGGCAGGAGCAAGTTGGCTAGCTAGACTAGCCAAATATGTAACATCCAGGAGCAGCAATAGAGCCTGCCTCACTAAACACAGTCAACAGTGACAGAGAAAGATACCCAGCATCAATCGCACGCCTCCACATACAGGTATACACAGGAGCATGAGCAGCCACACACATACCCAAACACACATGAACACATATGCATAGTGCTCACACACACATACACACAGACTCAAAAAGACCCTAGCAATAAGTGACATGTTGTCGTAAAATCAGTAAATATAAAACGGAAAGCCATAATACCTAATCACTTTTTATTGCTATTAAGTTTGTTAGTCTTTATTAAAACAAAAAAATATATTTCAAACACTAAAGTACATGATATTTATAAAAATATACAAAGAGAAAGAAAAAGTACACTTCTATTATACTGGTATGTTATTCTATACCAGTGTTTACATCCAGGATGTCATGGAGGTAGCTTCCTTTTGTACCTAAAGTAAAAATAAATCCACTTAATAAAAAGACAATAGGATAGGGTTCATTTTTAAATTACGTAACAGCTCTACTACAGCAATATTCTAAGTGAAGGTACATACACACACACACACACACACACACACACACACACTCTCTCTCTCTCTCTCTCTCTCTCTCTCTCTCTCTCTCTCTCACACACTTACAGAATAAACCAAATGCTTGCTGGCACATGCAGCAGATAATAGCATGCATTGTCACAGACCTGATAAAAGTCTCAGAGCCAAAAGTTTTCTGGTATTCATTCCAATGTAACTTAACATAAAATGTCTAATGTTACCACCCTTTTAAAAAATACATTTAATATTACTAAAATTTGAAAACTTATAATCAATAGATGAACAGCCCAAATCTGGTTTCCCTACTCTACAAAAGCAGTTTTCATTACAATACCTCAACATTAACAATTGTTTGTTTGTTTGTTTTAAGCTAACTAAAAGGAATAATCAAAAAGCAAGGGAGCTGGAGAGATGGTTCAGCAGTTAACAACTCCTGCTGTGCAATTATAAGAACTCGAATTCCGATCCCATTAGCCATGTAACAAGCCAAGCACTGCATTTGTAACCACAGTTCCTAAGAACACAGAGATAGAACTGCTATGACTTTTTGACTTCTACATGTGCATACACTCATACAGACACATACACCCCCACCCCCACCCCCACCCACGGATATATATGCATAAATACATCTTTAAAAAAGTAAGAGATGGTTGCCCACCATAACCAGATTATAAGATCCTACTCATAAGGATGCTACACACTTTAGCATGTAGAACTCAATCTGGAACTAAGTGGGAAACTTCCTCTCTGATGGCTAGTTTTCAAAGTTTGAAAGGGTCCTATATACAGGCTACTACAGAAGAAAAGCAATCAAAGGTGTACCAGCCAACAAGTGATGGACCCTGCATGTTACAATATGAACCTTCCAGGCAAGACATGCCCTGAGTACAACAGCAGCCTGACTATTATGGGGCTAAAGAAAAACTTTTCGACGGGCGTTGGTGGGGCACACCTTTAATCCCAGCACTCGGGAGGTAGAGGCAGG